GATGATCTTTTTTGTTGGTTTGGCAGACCCTAAAACAACAGATATATCAAAGCTGCCACACACCACCACAGTAGCGGTTTTAGGCACGGGCAGACAGGGCAGTTGCCCGGGGCGGCATTTTTTCATGACACAAAAGGGGCGCACAAGCGCGGAGTAAAAAAAAAAGGAAATCTGCGCCGCACCGAGGTTTTCTATTATCTGTCTTATGACAGTGTCTGGATTGGAAACAGCAAGTTGGCGCCCCCTGCAGTTGCAGGCGCTCCTGCTGACTGAGAACGTTCACGTGCTCCGTGTGTCTAAAGAACAGGAAGGGGAGGGGTGCGGCGGGGGAATTCACCTCTGCGTCTTTCCCATACCATACCATACCATTTTATTTATAAAGCGCATTCAACATGGCATTACAACCAGACAAGGCGCTGTACATTAAAAGATTACAGTTAATTAACACGTACAGAATGACATTTAAAGCATAGTTTATAAGAAAAAAAAATGTAAACAAGAAAATACTAGAACTAACAGTCGTAAAACACTAAAAACACAAAAGGAATGTGAAACAACAGATAAAAACATATGAAAGAACCACAGTAATACCCAATTTCCCAAATGAAATGAGCGTGCAGGGGCTGAATCAACTGTATTAACATGGCTAAAGTCAATCACATCTTAACATTCTTCCATATTTCATTCATAATATCATAAACACAGGCCTATCATTCTTTCAGGTTTCTCTGAATTGTGTGAAATGGCCGAATAAAAAAAGGAAAAACAAAACGATTTTGTGGTCACCCCCCATCAAGTTCAAATTGATTAGTCCAGACTAAAGGAAACTTACTGAGTCAGGAGCCAAACAGAAGAGATGAACATAAAAAGGCTAAAACCACCAGGTGCCCCCATTCAGGGGAAAAAAAGAAAAAAGAGCAGAAAGATAAAGGTATGTAGCTCTCATGATGCATGTTTTCAATTTTTTGAACCAGTTAACTGGGATTTTAACGGTTAAATGCGGTCAACTAATTGCTAACAGAGCTAATAGGGCTGAAATATTTAAACGAATATTCAAATGGTTTGAAAAAAGTCCTCGAATCGTTTTTTACTGATTCAAACTAGGATTTGTTAAATGCTCACTGCAGCCCGTGGCCTGCCTGAACAACAACAAACACATGTTGATCATGTTCACATAATAATAAATAAAACAATTCTACAAGCAGAAGAAAACTCCCCAGTCACCACTAACTATCCTGTTTATTTATTGCAGATGGCTGCACTGATTATTTTTTACATGATTTGTTCTGTAAAAGTTGGCATTTTTGGTAGTCTACAGTTTTTTATGTCAGTTTAAATTACAATTTCAGAGGCAATTCTAAAATATTATGGATCATGATAAAGATCTATTGGAGATCTACCCCAACTTTTGGACTGCTCTGCCAGTCACTGTGGCTCAAGCTGAGAGGAGCTTTTCAAAACTTGATCAAGTCATACCTGAGGTCAACTATGTTTCAGGGGCGGCTCACTAACCTGGCTCTGATTAGTATCAATCACTCAGTAGGGGAGCAGATTTCATGTGATGACATTATTGATGACTTTACATCAAGGTTAGGTTTAATTTTAGTTTGTGTTTTCTATTCTAAGTGCAATGCTGTAGTGATTATCTTTAGTTTGTTACGTGTGAAATATTTTTGCTATTTAGAATATTTATTATCTATTATGTTCATATATTCTTAATATTTAGTTATTGTTTGTTTTTGTATATTTGATTCTATATATTTTGATACAGTATATAATGATAGTGCTTTACATTCTGACAACTTCATAGTAATTAATGTAAATATGTGCAACTTAGAAAAATGAATGTTCAATAGTCGTTCTAATAAAACATGCCTGTTTGTAGAAAACATGCGTGTGTTCATGCAGGTGGGTGGTGGTGTGGTGGTGGTGGTGGTGGGGGGGGGGGGGGGGGGGGGGGGGTTGGGGGGGGGGGCGCTCAAAGGGGGCCTCGCCCGGGGAGTAATTCGATGTAGAACCGCCACTGCACCACCATCATCAGGCTGACAAACACACATGGTGGCAGCTTTAACCTTTGATGCATAATGGTCACTACAGTGGACAGGTACTCAAAATTGTTATTTATTATTTTGTGCTATTAAGCACAGCTGTTGAAGACTTTATTGCATTTGAGCCCCCTCCATTTGGACTTCAGTAAGCCAAGCCAACATATTTCATGCTCAGATTGCATGCTGTCCACTGAGGTGGACATGTAATAAATTATTTGTAAATTATAAAATTTTACAAAAAATATGTGTTGAAATTTGTTTCATTCACACCTAAAGACGAATGAAAAAAATTGTTAAAAAATCATGGTTGAAGATTTCATAATTCATGCATCAAAGGGTTAAAGAAGAGGCATTCAATTAGAACATTCTAGGTAAAAGGTGAAAAGATGTATGTCAGAAATGTGAAATATCCTTTGATTTATTTAACAGAGCAAGTCACCCTCACCAGAGTATTACTCCACTCCCAATTCCTGTTTGAAAAATACAACAAATGCTGTTGCCTAGCAGACCGAGAGGGCGGAGCTGTTAACACACACACACACACACACACACACACACACACACACACACACACACACACACACACACACACACACACACACACACGCACGCACGCATGCACGCACGCACGCACGCACGCACACACACACACAGGCTCACAACGACATTGTGACATCATATTGTACCAGCTAACATTCTAGCGTACCTCTTAGCCAATAGCGGTGGCAGATTTAAATTCAAATGCAGTGCACGAGTTTTTACCTGACAACGGCACAACACTGACAGTTTTAGGCAGAAAATTAAAATTTTAACTAAATGCACTAAAGTCCAAAACTATTGACTACACGTGTCTGCAGCACAATTAGACACACATTTATATAGTTTATCAGAAAAAAAAAATGTTGATTTGGGGGTGACTTGCTCTTTAAGAAGACACCAAAAATAAACTATAAATCTGTTTATAATGCAAATGTACCTACATCATCAGTATTAAGTGAGAACTTGTGTTTTCATAACTGATTTTTGCAGAATTTTTGTGTGAAGTATATTAGCATAGTTTTATACAGTTTGCATGAATTTACATTACCAGCATGGAACACTCATTTAATCAATACATTTGCAGGGGTCTTTAGTAGGAATTCATGTCTTGTAACCCCAAAATTCCACTATCTCTGCTCCGTTGCGCTCCGGCACGAACTCTGCAGCAAAAATGGTCCGTAGTAGTCAATCAGAGCTGTTCTACTACTGGGGCCGTGCGGCACAGTGCGCCGCCTGCCGTTCCACCATCCGGCAAAATTAGGATCGATTCTATTTTTGCCGGACGCCGGAGCACCTCTCGCAGTCAATGGACAGAAACCACAACTGCCCAACATGAAAGGGAGCAAGCACAACTTCCGTTATTTCACAATAAATCGATAACAAAAAGCGTTTTTTGTTTCATATGCACAGGTTTAACAACTTTTAACAACTATCAATGGCGGTTGAACTTTAAATGCACAAAAATAAGCCATAAATACAGTTTCCACTATCAAAGCAGTCACCCTTTGTTGATCCAAACACTGCTGATCTCTCAACACAAATGATGGGCAGATCAAACAGTTCATTTCGATGCTTCTCCACACAACGGGTGTTTGGATCTAACATCTGTGTTTATTGCTCGGACTGTATCGCAAGATCTTGAAAATCCCGCGCATGCCTGTTTGCGCACCTCAGGTCTCTGCACCGGAGCGGAGCCGTTGTAGAGCGGTTACAGTATAATTTTAGTTCGGAAGAGAGCGGCAGCGGAAAGCGGGGGCAGAGTGGAGATACTGGAATTTTGGGGTAAGTAGTTCAAGAGGAAAAAATGCTGGTGGGCCATTTCTTGGACCAAAAAGTTGATCACATCAAGCTGAAGATCAGATGGCAGGTTGTGGAGTCTTATATTCCTGAGATTTGGACATCTTGCCCTGGATTTGCTTACAGCAACACAACTTTACCACAGACTTCAATTGTGGACGTTTTATCTCTACAAATAGCACAAGCCTGGAGGAGTTCTGCCATGTGGTGAAGGTGTTAATGCTAATGTTAGCTTCTTCAAGCCGAGATGTTCTCTGCTGTTTCCTGGATGCTAAACTAACAACAGAGTACCTCATCTCGAGTCAAGATGGGTGAGTCCATGAATGTTAAGTGACAGTGTGATGTAGATCTGTCAGGCTTTTCTAATCCTAGATTTTCACCATCGATTTTCTATCAGAAGATAATGCAGGAGATTGGTGTAGGAGACTATTTTCATGTTCAGTCTGCATGAAAACTTCAGAGTGACTGATTATAATCAGAAAAAACTTCTTAAAAACTTTTCAGTCACAACCTACCTTTACATTACTAAAAAATATTCCCAACATGGAAGCATGGAAAATTGCTGGCCACCTTACCTTAAGTCTTGTAGCTACAAAGATTTACTGCACCTTTTTGACATAAAAAATACTTTGTTTCCTTCATGAAAATGTTGTATTTTCAGTGGTTTGTTCAGCAAATTACTAATCCACAGGTTGTTAATAATTCATAAAGATCAGTGATTTATAGAAATATTCAATTAGACAATGATTAATCTCCTTTTAGAAATGGAGGTGCGGGGGGGGGGGGGGGGGGGGGGGGGGTCCAAAACCCATACAGACATTTATGCCATAACTTTATATTTGAAAGCAACAGCACAACCAGTCTCTGAAAGCTCACACAATTCACCAGTACTACCAGAGTAGTACTGATAAGTACTAGTGATTCATGTTCTGTACTACATAGTATCACGGATCAAGACCTACATGAGGAGTTTCACAGGAGAGCCAGCTCTCTCTCTCTCTCTCTCTCTCTCTCTCTCTCTCTCTCTCCTCTCTCTCTCTCTCTCTCTCTCTCTCTCTCATCTCTCTCTCTCTCTCTCTCTCTCACACACACACACACACACACACACACACACACGCACGCACGCACGCACGCACACACACACACACACACACTCACCAGCCTTCCTTCCTCCTTCTCGGACCTCATGTCCTCCTCGGCACAAGCTCCGTTTGACTCCACTGTCAGTCCTGGTGTGAGCTCTCATAGCAGGTGGAAAAAAAAAGTGGAGTCGCACTGATACAGCCGAACACACAGGATTCAAATATCACCCAACACCACCGTAGCCCGCTGCTCCGAGCTTAGCTCACGTGGCTCCACCCAAACAGGTAACTAGGAAGCGGTCCCAAGGGAGCCGCTCAGGAACACCGTCCCCTCTTCTCCTCCTTTTTTTTCACCTCTTATAAATGCGACACTCTTCCCTCCTTCTTTCTGTGCTACCTGATCTCGACACACCCAGAGGACAACTTTCACCCACTCCTGCTTCGTCTACCCCTTAGTGTTGACAAGAAGGACGAGGGGGAGGGGAAGCCAAAGTGCACTTGTGGCCTCAGGTAAGAATCCAGGTGTAGAGCTCTCACTCCACCTGACGGCTGGGAGCCAAACAGATCTCACCTGTTCAGTCTTACAGGAGTGTGTTTTATTAGATAGCGTTCAGACCTTCAATGTGTTGCATTTTTAACATATTGATAAGTGGATCAGGAAGGATGTGAAAGTTCATGCTTTGACTCAAATCGCCTTACCTCTGCACTCTCACACCCTTTAATAATCTGGACTCCCCATGTTATCTTAAGCCCTCCAGGCGTCTGATTGCTCTGCTGCTCCCTGCTGACTAAGGGCCGTGTGTGTCTAGTCAGATGAGAACTGGGATGTGAGTGGACAGAGTAAATATAGGCATCTCCATGCCATTTTTATCTCTCGCCCATGGCAGATACAGGCAGGTAGTTTTAGGATAATAAATGCAGCTGTAGGACTCCATAGGTAAAAACTAAAAACTTGTAACAGAGTTTGCGGTTTAATAAGCATGGACTAGAATGCAGAGTTTTTGACGTTCTGAGTGAAATTTTTATGTTTCAACACCGTTTCAGAGCTACAGTGTCATTTATCCTGCCTGTCAGGGGGATGAAGGTTTAGAGTCCATTCTAGATCAAATGTGATCTAACCAAATACTTGTCATGAGGCAACAGACACGTCAATCAGGCAGACGGCTGGAGGATTACTGCCAGACTTTTTTTTTCTCTGACTGATCTGAGCAGAGACAAAATGTTGCAACATCGGGTCCAGTTATTATAAATGGGATTATAACGTAATCCCGGCATCACAAAAGCACTGCCCGTAACCATAACATCCCTTAAACTCATCATACGTAATTATCTTGAATTACAAAAGCATGTACGTGCAGCTAATAATTGATCAACACCAGTAGATGATATCTTGTCGCTATAAACAGATTTGCTTGACAAGCATATCTTATAGTAGAAAATAGATGGATTTGTACTAAATCTGCTATCCCGAATGTAGAATCTTTCCATCTAAAATGCTTGTGAACCTTTTTATTTCTATGTTTTTTTCTCCTCCACCTGCTCCTGACTTGTAAATCCATCTTCTAGGAAACCTGGAGGTTATCTCGTGTCCTAACAGGCCTGAGAAGGAGACAGGAATGAGGGGAGGAGAGCCGCTGGGAGGGAGGATGCACAAAATCCAGGGGGATGATTCACCACCAGTCGGCTCTTTGTGAAGGTCTTTTAGGAATTAATCAGGTGCATTTTATTTTGTAAGGTTACGTGCATTCGTTTCCACAAACACCTGATGTAGACTGATGCTGACGAGGGTGGGCTCTAATGAAAAGTTAAAAGATGAAGGCACACACAACAGAAAATGTGTAAAATCAGACTCTAAGCAATGTTTTATGGGATGAATATTCAGGAGACAATGCAGGATATACTAATTATGAAAAGGCACATTGTCCAATCATTATTAATGTGCATGCCACAGATTGGGCATTTCCTTTTGTAACACTGAACAAATATGTTATTTTAACAAAACTAAGTCCGCTAACAATCTGAGAACTTCATGCATGTTCAAGGTTAGGACCTCACTGTAATACAATTTGTATATTTAATTTATTCATTTATTTGTGTTTTAATGCTTTTTGTATATTTTTCAAAATTGCTACCAAAAACATTTAAAGGCAAACATGCATGTGAAGTTTTATTCGCTTTAAACACAAATACAATAATAAAAATCAGAGTTAAAGTTGACATATGATGCAAACACATGTTTTGCATCCTTTTGTTTTCTGCCATGTTTGTCTCTACTGCCTCTTTAAACACTCCAAACTTGGTTGTTTTCGGTCAGTGTTTTCTTTCAGGAATGATGTGCTTAAAATGAGCTGTAAAAAAAAAGTCTCCATTTGTGATGTCACAACTGGGGAACTTTGCATACACCCACCTCTCACCTCCCCAGGCTTGAGAAGCAGGAGCTCTCGTCAGAGTCTAAAATGGCGCCTGTGATTCCTTTATGTGACTAAATCATTTCACTGTCTCAGTCTGATCATTTAGGTCACCAAGCAGAACTGGGATCACTACTGAGTGATTTTAAGGATGTTTTTACTCACAATGCTAGTTGGATCCATTCGCTTAGTGTGTTTTATGCTAAGCTAAAGCTAAAGGAGTACAGTTGGGTCAGGAGAATGACTGGGCTGGTTTAAAATAGTTTTGTCCCACTTATTAAACTCTGGGAAATATGTCAGACAAAATGTAAAAATTGGGTGGAATATCCCTTTAAACATGTATTTAGTGTTTTATAAACACATTTTAGGTCAGTTATAGTACTGATGCTGTAATATGATTTAGAAATCATGCTGCATGGCCTCCTTGACTCATGCTGCTTTTATCCCTACTCCTCCACAGTCTGAAACATCCCTCTCCTCGGTGTCCTCATTCTCCCACTCAGCTCCCCGTATCACCGTGTCATTCATTTGCTTTGCTCACATTAAAGCCTGTAAACCGTCTTCTTCTCTCCTGTGCTCGGCTCCCCTTTCTCTCCGCTGCACACAGTTGACCTGTCAGTCTGCATTAACACTGCTGCAGAGTGTTGATAGAGAGCCGTATTAAAATATTACCCTGCCCACAGAGAGAAGAGGAGGTGAAAAAGGAGAGTGGGGGATGACAAGCAACGATGGACAGCAGGAGAGGAAGGGAAATGAGTTTCTCAGGTCACAAGTGTCGCTGCTCATTGTTGATGGAAACTACAAGAGGCTTGTCTGACCGTTCTTTAGCACCTTGTCTGTCTGACTCAAGGGGCCAAAATAAATCAAGATGGAATTATGAAAACAGATCAGACTCTCGGGGTTGATGTCAGCAGGAGAACAATAAACGGCTGAAGCGGGAAACTGACTTACAGATGAATCAGTACTACAAACAGAGTCAACAGACTCCACGATCAATACCTTTTGTCATATGAATGCGTGCTCTGTAGGGTGAACACTGCACTGGAAGAAAAATGAAGACGCCATCTTCCTGAGGAGCTGGAGGCAAACACCTTATTCCTCATACGGATGGCGGCGATTGTGGAAGATAAGCGATCTTGTTGCAAAGCCATAATTGCACATTACAATGCAACTCAAAAGTCAGCCATTTCAGTAAACTCAAAAGCAATTGGCAGAGAGGATTTCTTTTCTGCAGAGGCCTCATAATCAATATGACACCGTGAATTGGGTGACAGAAGGAATAAGGCTCTGGGCTGAGATAAACGAGGCCTGCAGTGAGAACTGAGGGCCCTCGTGGCCCGACACTGAGTGTTGTTATCTGATTGTTCTCGCCCGCATGGGCCTTTGCTCCGCCGTTCACCCACAAGTCAACCTGACAGCTCAGTGTCCTTTTAACTGCCAGGATAAATCACAGCACTCACTTCCTGCTGTTGCCAAGGCAACGCCATGCAATTTTGAGCAACACTGTACCTTTGCCCAGCGAGCAGTCTGGAGTGCCAAAGTCCATCAGGCTGGATATCTCAGTCGAGTAGCACATGTCCGTCACCACCGTCTTCTGCCGGCGGTGCACCGATGGATCTGCAGGAGAGAAAACAGCAATGTGACTTAACTAGATCACGTAACTGAAATGAAGAATAATACATTCAAATAATCACACTGGAAGAAGACGATAAAAGTCACAAGGCACTTCAAAAGCAAAATAAACATTTCAAACAAAAATTTCAAAAGATGAAACACAATTTCAGATAAAAACAACAAAAAACAAGAGATTATTTAAATAGGTGATAAAAGCCATCCTATAAATGTAAATATATAGTCTGGCCAAAGCCCACAGACAGAGCTCAGCCATAGGGTGGACTCTATGGTTGAAAATGTCCCTGCATGCAATTGGACAGTGCCAGGACCAATCAGAGCAATGAACTCAACTCAACTCAACTTTATTTGTAAATCGCGCCTTACAGGCAAAAAGATGCCACCAAGGCGCTACACTGATCAAGTAAAAACAAAAACATTAAGTCCAGAAAATAAAAACATTGTATCACAAGGTACAGATAAAAAATACAGTGAGTACACAGATTGCTATAAGTAAAACAATAAAACTAGTTAGAAAGATTAAAAGACATAAAAGTAGGTTTTTAGTCTTGCCTTAAAAACCGCAACAGAGGTGGAGGCCCTTATGCTGAGAGGAAGCTCGTTCCAAAGCTTAGGACCTGCCACAGCAAAGGCCCTATCACCATGTGTCTTTAGGCACGCTCTTGGGACCGAGAGGAGCATGAGGTTCTCCGAGCGGAGTGACCGTGCAGGGGTGTACGGTTGAAGCAGTGACACCAAGTAAGGAGAGGCCAAACCATTTAACGTTTTAAAAACCAGTAAGAGTATTTTAAAACGAATCCTTACATCAATGGGCAGCCAATGAAGCATAACCAGGACAGGAGTTATGTGGTCATACTTGCGCCTGTCCTCTAAAAATGTGGCAGCAGCATTCTGCACCATTTGCAACCTTGCTATTGCGCCCTTGTTCACACCGAATAAAACAGAGTTGCAGTAGTCCAGTCGCACCATAATAAAAGCATGGACTACCGTCTCAAGATCATGACGTGACAAAAATGGTTTGATCTTTGCTAACTGACGAAGGTGGAAAAAGGAGGAGGAGATCACTCCATTGATGCGGGTATCAAAACTAAGGGCGCTATCCAGTTTTACACCAAGATTAGTCACCGATGTAGTCAGCTGGCCATTAAATGACCCACAGTCAGTTAAGGAAGAGTCACAATGTATGCTTGGAGCAAACAATATAGCCTCTGTTTTGTGATCATTTAGGCTCAGAAAATTGTCACTCATCCAGGTCTTGATCTCCCTCAAACAGTATGAATAGAAATAGAGAGACCACTAGGCATGTTCAGAGGCAGGTACAGGTGACAATCGTCAGCATATAGGTGGAATTGAACTCCAAGCTCATGACAGATGTCACCTAAGGGCAGAATATAAACAGAAAACAACAGAGGTCCCAATATCGAGCCCTGTGGTACCCCCAGGGTAGATCAGAGTACTCTGAGGAATAACTTCCCATCCTAACACACATTTTTCCATTTGTCAGGTATGATCTAAACCACTCCAGGGCTAACCCTGAAATCCCGACATAATGATGTAGACGGTGAAGCAGCACTTCATGATCTGTCATGTCAAAGGCAGCCGTGAGGTCCAGCAGAAGTAACAACACAGAATTACCGCTATCAATCGCTAGATAAATGTCAATGAGCACTCTAACCAGTGCAGTCTCCGTGCTGTGAAGAGCTCTGAAGCCAGACTGGAAAGTCTCAAAAATGGCATTCTCATCAAACCAAGAGCTGGTGGTAAACACATTTCTCTAGTACCTTACTTGAGAATGGAAGTTTCAAAATGGGCCTGTAGTTTGCAGCCAGCGAAGCATCCAGTCCAGGCTTTTTGAGCAAAGGTTGAATAACCGTATTTTTGAAATCGTCAGGGACTATACCAGAACTGAGACTCATGTTAATTATGTGCAATATTAAAGGGGCGACTACTGGAAAGACTTCATCCGGCGAGCCGCTCGGCTTAGCCTTCCCAGCGATCTTGATCAAATCATCTAGACTAATTTGTTGAAATGCTACCAAACCTCTGATGGCATGAATAACGTGACATATTCATAGAGACGAAAATCAGCCAACGTTCATAAGCCGCTGCCATCTTTGTTGTTTTCCTCCCGCGTAGCTCTGCCATTGTCATAATAACAAAGCTCTGCTGTGATGATTATAGGTCCATCATCATCTCGTCTCTCTACAAACAGAGCCCTGTGATTGGCCAGGCCTAAAGTTAGCCTAGCTAATGGCAGACCTGCAGAGGCTACATTGTAGCCGTTGGCCACATGGACGATGTTTTCTAGGGAAGAGGCACCAGCATGAAAATAAGCTAGTGAGTAAGAAGAGGATGATCAGGAGTTCACATAAAAGTCAGCATGAAAAAGGTTCCGCTTATCCACAGAGATGATCTGTTTTTCATTAAATTTAGTTATTTTTTGTTTTTAAATGGAAACACACACACACACGCGCACATATTGAGATAACATTTCTTCATCCGAATAGAGTGGCAGTTTGATTAGGTTGATTGATCCATAAAACCACAGACATGAAAAATGACTGTTGATGTTGACAATGAAAGGAAGAAATTAACTTTCCTAATCTCAACATTAACTAGACACCTTCTTCTATTAGTGCTGCAGTAATAAAGTGAGATGCACCATCTGAGCAACCACCCAGCACTGGCCTGATTGATCCTCTCCTAAATCCCAATAGTTTGACTCTCACACTTGTTATTTTATCATTATTTTTAATCTGGATTACTGATCTTCCCTCCCTTCTCACCCTTCATCCTCCTCTTGACCTGTCAGTAACAGTTTAGATGTTGCTGGGCTGACCTTTTCCCGTCTTCTTAATATGGAGATTGGACAGCGGGCAGGCTCGTGCTCGGCTGCTCTCCTTCACTTGGCAGCCATCAATAACGAGTGACTCATAACAAGTGAAGGTGCTGACAGCAAGAAGACCAGTTGCTGCTCACTGGGAACGTGGAATCTCATTAAATGAAACCTGGAGTGAAATCACAGGAGTCGTTTGTGTTGGGGGTGGGATGGGAGGGGGGTTCAATGCATTGTATTTCATGGAGCCACGCCCTGTCATTGTGCTGGTAGGCTGCAGAGAAGACACCAGTAAATCAAAGCAACACGATTCTGCCAGGTTGGACCTGAAAGGTGAGAAGTTAAAGGTCATAATGAGGTCAGACAATGAAACAATTTTTGTGGGAGTTTTACATTTTCACGAGACCTACCATTTGTGTGATAAAACAACAGAATTAGTTCAAAAGTATTGCTAAAATATTTGTTTTGGATTTTTTTTAAATAGGGAGATATACATTTTGCTGCCGTTTACTAAAATGTCTCATTTGACCCAAAACCTTTAAAGCTGAGCATTTGGCAACTATATAGAACAAAATTGGTCAGTTTTAACCGTTTTGATTTGGTAACATGTAGAATAATCTGATGCCTGGAGCACATTTATAATGCTGGGACTTATTTCTGTATTTACATCTCCATGATAGTTATTTTACTTGAATTTCAAACTGAGCAACTTACTGTTTTCTATTTCGGACCAATCCAAGATTTCATCCGGGCCTAAATAGACAGGAACTCACAGAATCAAACACCAGGTGATCAAAAAGTGCTGAAGTATAAAGAGCAATAAGATCATGTCAAGAATGTTTTAATTATGGAACATGTAATCAATAACAACATCTGAAGCACACTTCCTATTCTATTATGTCCTAGATCTTCTAATTAATTTATGTTACTGCTGCTCCAACCTTAGTGTGACCTCGTTTTTTATATTAAATGATTTTTCATAACACATGAATGACACTGAGATGGGGGATGAACATGCACTTTTATAAACTAGTTGTTGGTAAATGACTGAAGTGTCTCCTGTGTGCTCATAAAGGTGAGAGCCTCAGACATTTAGATTGGTGGCATGTAGATGAGTTCTCCACCTACAGAGCTAGGTTGAGAAGGTCAACGTGCACAACACATAACATTAAATGTAAACCACATTGGTTTGGTTGATGTGTTATTTATGTCTGAACAAAACAAAATGTAACTATTTTTTAATGAGCAAGTCACCCTCTACCAGAGTCTTACTCCACTTCCACTTCCTGTTTGAAAAATGCAACAAATGCTGTTGCCTGGCAGACCAAGAGGGCAGAGCCGCTAATAAATACACACACAGGCTCACAATGACATTGTGACATCATATGGTACCAGCTAACATTATAGAGTACCTCAAAGCCAATTACAATGGCAGATTAAAATTTGGTAGTCGTGCAGAATTTTTACCTGAAGATAGCGGAACACAGACAGTTTTAGTCAGAATATTTAAATTTTAACCAAGATGTATTAAAGTGCCAAATTATTGACTACACGTGTCTACAGCATGATTAGACACTCATTTATACAGTTTATCAGCAAAGAAAGTCAATTTGGGGGTGACTTGCTCTTTAAATAAATGTTTAATATTTGTAGCTTCGATTGAAAGTGTTACTTATTGTCTAATGATGAAGGTTCAAACTGAGGAAAGGTTGTATTTTTTTGTAATTTTCAATGAAGTCTTCAATGTTGGTGCTCCAAATTGTCTGTAAGGCTCTGGAAGTAAACATTTCGTGAATTTCAACCAAATACGGAAGTTAGACCTGTAAGAAATAACTTGAAACATGGGAGATGCTTCATCCTTCATTTGATCATGTAGTGGTGCTTTAGGAAAAATCGTATTGGTGCTTTACATTTTTATGTCTTTTAGCTGCAGACTTCGGAGCTTTTCACAAACTATGAACAAACATTGTTTTTGTCACTTATCACAGTTCTGGTACAGCCTTTTACAAATAAACTCAACTGGCTTTGAATGTGTTCAAATAACGGACTTAAAACCTGACAAAATGCAGCCAAAAACCAAAGGAAAATGGTGAAGAAATCCTTGGCTTAGTCTCCAGATATTATTGCAACATGCACTAAACTAGATTTT